AGAGGGAGAAGCAGGCTTCCCGCCGAGCAGGGAGCCCGATGCGGGGCTCGATCCCAGGACCCTGGGACCATGACCTGAGCTGAAGGCAGATGCTTAACGACTGAGCCACCCAGGCGCCCCAGCAATTTTTAATATAAATATAATCATTCTCACTTTGAGTCTTCCTCAGAACCTTGTCAATGACCACAGGCATAGTGTTGCATCCCCGCTGTGGGCCGAAACCATTCTGTGGCGCTTTACCACACTTCCTCATTCATGCATTTCTCAGTGAGTCAGTAGTCACAACACTTCTAATTATTAAATGGCACCATATATAGTTTCCTATCGCTTGGGAAAGAGAGTTGCCTTCCAGGGGCTCCTTCCTCCTCCATCCTCCCTGCATAGACCAGTGGCTGTAGCTATAAGGGTTGAAGAAACACTCTCTACAGAGGATGTTTCCTTCCCCACCTGGGAGCTCTTTGGTACAATGCAGCACATTCAGAGGCTTGGGCCTGTGTTTGTCTCAAAGCAGTTGTGACATGTTGTCCAGCGGAGGAAGGACTGAGGTTTGTTCCCTCATCTCCCATTTCTCACCATCCAGCCTTCCCTTACGTGTTCAGAGAGCCTAGCTATTGACCTTGCTACTGTGTGGGCAAGAAGGATGATACCGCATGCTTCAGTCATGGCGTGCCATGGGGAGTTAGGACACGTGGATGACTGAGACATCGGCCCTGCCCTTGAGCCCACATAGAAAATACGTTAAACAGGTGGAATCAAGGAACTCTTGCTTTGGCACCAATGTGCCTGGGAACCCTGGAAATATGAGAGAAGGATCGAAACGGGCATGTGAGGACAGGTGTGGAGGGGGCAGAGTGGCCTAAGGGCTAAGAGCTTGGAGTTGCAACTCGTTGGGATTCCAGCCTGTCTGCACCGTGCCCATCCCCGGCCACATGACTTTGGTCCTGTCACTTGTCCCTGGAGTTCTGTGTTCTTATATAAAATGGGAAGATGGACATTGGACTAAAGCACACAAAACAAAGCCGACCCTGGAAGGAGGCAGGACTCTCAGGCAGGG